TTCATCACATGGTAAAAAAAACTAAATGTAAAGTGTCATAATGTGCAACTATTGTCTTGTTCATGAAGATGAATGTCATTTATTTACTTCTTAATTTATACGGTGCACATTATAATCATAATTAGAAACATATTACATAGTCTAACTTCATGATTATATTACATTGAAAATTTAAAATACATGTCAAAATATTTAATTTTATCATTACAAAATGAAAGCAATCATATACTTTAAATAAATGATCGAATTGGCTATCTTGCATTATCATATTTTTTTATTTCATAAGCACGATAGCTTAGTAACTCTTCTTCATCATGTATAGCATTATCATTCTATTGCCCGTTGGTGTCATAATATTCATGTATCATGTATACACATTACCCAAACTCTTGTATAATTATTCGTGCACCATTATACCATATGGAGAGCTAACCACATGTGTTTTATTTTTACTATGTAGGAAAGCTCAACAGTTTGCCCCCTCATGCAATATGGAATCTTGAGATTTACATGGCCATGTATCTTTCATTTAGCCTTCTTTCATTTTACATGCATTTGAACCACTCAATACAAAAAAAATTATATTTCATAAGTGTCGGGGCACATATAATAGCCTCCGATCATTTCTTTTAAAACTATATATATATATATATATATGCCAACTAATGCACATACAAAAAAAAAAAAGTCGTGATTGAAGCATGTCTTTAAAAATCCATTATTTTCTTAACATAAATCAAAGTTAACATCAACACATTTTGTATGAATATTTTATTCATGTTGGATGCATCACATTTATATTAAGAATCATACACGTATAAAATGGTTATTCTAAAAGAGGGCTTTTAGCCTACATTCATTGTGTAGGATAGCATAAATCTTTTCATGTATTTTAATTCATTCATCAAATTTCAATTTTTTTATATAATTACATCATTATTGTAATGAAACATAAGAAAAATTAAATTAGGGTTTCATGCAATCCTAATATGTCATGAATACATATTATTAAACATTCATGTAAATTGACTAGTACATTTTTTTTTATAATATGATGCATAAATTCCTAAGTTTTCTTATCAATTTATTAAATTAATGTGCAAGTTCTTACTAACTATGTAATATAAAAAATTATAAAGAAAATTACAAATTAAATAAATCTAGGTTTAAGAAAATATGGACATGGACTTTTAACTTGAAATTTCATTTAAAATTGAAACTCGCTTAATACATGAAGCTTATTTTCAACATTGAAATTGATTTATATAAATTTTAAATAAAATATCATGTGTAATTAATATCTATCTTAAATCTTAATTTAGATCACACAAGAAGAGTTTTAATTGAATGCTAAGATAGGTGATAGGTATCTTACTTTTTGGAGAGGAAAAGTCCTTAAGAAGTTATCTTCACCAATAAGCTAGAATAGAAACCAAGCATTTTTCTCATCCTTCTCTTTGACTACCCATCACTTAGCCATGCTTTTACATAATATATTTTATCCGGAGAAATGCACCCCAAACTTCTTTCATTTATCTCTTATATTGTCACCCATTCCAACCAATCACAAACATTCATGAGCCCTTTCTGCATGCACTCACTAGACATGCTCTCATTGTTTTATTTTTTAAGAATTAAAAAGTGTTGAAATTATATGAGTATCAATCTATATAACTAGTATGAGAATCATAAATTTTTCACTTATCACTTCTTAATTATATTAATCATACATAATAATGGTTAATGATTAACACAAGTTGGACATTAATAATATTTTCTCCATTTGATCTCTAAATTTCATAATTTTATCATTTCTTACATACTGATAAGATTGTCCAATTCAACCATTAAGATAATTAAAAGCTATTAAAACTAAGAGCTAAATTATGAAAATAATTTTTGATTAAATGACCCTTTTCTAACCATAATTTTCATATTTTTTATCCAATATTTATTATGTTATATGTTCTGGGAAGGTAACAAAAATATTTACAACTTTATGTTAATTACTTTATCTAATTCAACATATAAAATAGGTAAAACATACAAACATCAAGAGCAAATGCTGTAGTTTTGTACATGAGATATTTCTGATAGAACAATTTTATCATATCATAATACCTACAAGTACTTACTAATAATTTAAGATAACTTATCATCATATTCACTTTATATACACATTCATAATTTTAATGATAAATTTGTACTATTATTATTATGATTATCTTATCAATAACATGATTTATTATACTATGATCTCCCAATAAATTATAGTTCTCTAGATATGAGTGAGAAGTATGTATCAGTCTTCTTCAATGATAGTTTGGAGTGAATTAGTCCAAGCTATGCTTCAATTATTATCTCCATTCCATTTTATAAATAACACTCCATAGATAACTTATTACCCAACTTTTTATTGCATTCGTTTTTTTAGTTCCATTTTCTTTTATTTGTTTTGACAGAAGGACGATTGAGAAGGAGACCATTGAATGATCATATGATTATAATAAGAAGACACTAAAATATTCATAAAGCATGCCCAACTAGGGATAAATTATATTGCTCAAGCTTGCTTTTATGTGCCCATTAGAAAACATAATCTTGTCATCAAAGCTTGGTATAAAAGAGGTTGAAATTGGTTGGGTTTGGGGTTTGAGAAGATATAAACCATTTCGTAAAGGAATTCACATGGCTCTCTTGTCATGATGAGAGGGAGAAGAAGGAAAATCAATAAAAGCAACTAGAGTCTTGCAAAGGAAAAAAGGAAAGAGGGAGGAGAGAAAAAAAAACTTAGCACAAGTAAAAGTATCGGCATTTAAAAAATTAGCTAGCATCTTTTCACTGAAAATTTTGTTCGTGGCTGCTAAGAAGTATTGGAATAAATCAGTTGAAAAATTCAGAAATAATAATTCAATTCAAAAAATGTAAAAAAAAAAAACTTAATATTGGAAATTATGTATAAATTCTCAAGGAACTTTATTCGATGATCATGGTGATCATGGTGCTAAAAAAATTTGAAATATTTTTTACTTTACAAGACCTTGATCCCTCGATAATAATTAATGATGGGGCTCCATATTTCAATGACTTAAATGCAATGTAGTAATTAACAATTAGTGATCCTATAAACTTACATATTATTTTTTCTAAATAGAATTGCCCTCCATACTCCTTTTTCTCATCTCTTAGATTACCACCCATTCCAACCAATCACAAACATCCATGAGCCCTTTCTCCATGCACTCACTAGCTATGCTCTCTTTGTTTTATTTTATAACAGTTATAAAATTATGCACTTATATGGGTATCACTTTATATAATTAATAAGCAATATAGAAAATTTTTGTCCATTAATTCTTAATTATATTAATCTTAAATAATAATACTTTATTATTAATAGAAGTTTGTAATTTTTGTTAAGCTGAACAACTTCAAGTAATTTAATCATAACTTTCTTGCAATATCCAAATTTCATATTTTTAATCTACAAAACTTTTATATTGATAACATTGTCTAATTCAACCATTAATATAACTAAAATCTATAAAAAACGAGAGCTAAATTATAGCACTGGCAATTTTTGATAAAATAACTACTTTTCAGTATTTTGATCATAATTTTCTTATATTTTATCCAATATTCATGATCTTATAGGTTCTGAAAATGTAAATGTTAATGACTTTACCAAATTCAACGTACACAACAACAACAACAACAACAACAATAAGCCTTTATCCCACTAAGTTAAAATGATGATATGTTATTCACTAAATCTAATTTAACATATAAAATAGGTAAAACATATAAACATCGAGAAAAAGATTGCCACTCTGCACATGAGTGATTTCTGATAGAGCAACTTTACCATATCATAATCTCTATAACTTGTGACTATTAATTTAAGATAACTTATCATCATTTTCACTTCACATACATACTCTTAATGTTTATGATAAATTTAGTACTATTATTATTATGATTATCTTACATATATCATGAGCTATTACAAAATGAACTCATAATAACTTATATTCCTTTAGATATGGTTGATAAGTATTTATAGGTTTTTTTTTCAAGAATGTCTTGGAGTGAACTATTCCAAAGTATGCTTCAACTAGTTACCTCCAATCCATTTCATGAATAGCACTTCATAGATTCCTTACTACTCTATAATTAAAGTTCATCTTTTTCTATCTCCTTTTTCTTTTATTAGTTTTTGATAAAAGGACTAATGAGAAAGGAATTTATGAATGACCACAAGAATATAATGAGAAGACATTGAAATATCCACAAAGCATGTACAACAAGGAATCATTATATTGCTCCAACCCTCTTTAATGTCCTCATTAGAAAACATAACCTCAAAATTAAAGCTTGGTATAAAAGAGCTTGAAATTGGTTGTTTTTGGGGTATGAGAAAATATAAATCATTTCTAATTCCATTTTGAGGGTGGAGCTGATGGAAATAATATTATTTTCGGAATAAATATGTACAGATTTGGTGGTATTGTAATGATATTGAGATGAATAACCTCACAATACAACTAATCTGAAGTTGTAGATATTACACGTAATACTACCCCTAAACACTAGTATTCGTTTAGGGAAGGAGAAGACTTAGGGTGTGTTTGGGGCAGTTTGTGCGTTTTAAGATAAGCAGCTTATTCTGAAACACGGCTCGCGGGTCGACTGCGGGGATCGACCCGCGACCTGCGTTTAGTATGAAAATGGAACCACATTTTCGGATATGCAGACAAAACGCGCGATCCAAACTGTACTGCGACGTTTTCAAAAACACTCCCGCACTTATAAGCTACCCCAAACAAGAGAAATATTTACGTACGTAAGACGTACGCAGAGTTAATATTAAATTTATAGGAGGGTATAGATATGTTACACTTAAATTATACTTATTGTAATTATTCCTGTAAACCTATTTGTGTCGTCCCAATAACTTAAATATGTGGCCAACTCTGAGTATAACCGAGTCGTCCAATAAGAGCAGCCATGGACCATTGAGTGTTCCCGCCACATCCGAGCTCTTTCACTGCATCTACTGAGAGAAAGTGGGAGCTCGCGGGCTTCGCTAATGGGAAGATCGAAGGCGAAGCAGCTCTCCTTCATCACGGTCCCTTCGCAAATCATTCATCCCTTTTCCTCCTCTCCTTTCCAAGGGCTTCTCCTTTCGCCGAAGAAGTCATCGCGGCCGCAGCAGCTGTGCTGCCTTCTCTCCGCCGCTAAGAACACTTGGAGCATCATTCTCGCCCTTTTCTTTGCTTTCTCCCTGTTTGGATTCATTGCTATAGTTCTCCGCCTGCACTTCTCCCCACTCTCCTGTGCCACCTCCGGGCAAGATGGGAGCTCGAAACCCTCTCACCCGGCTGAGACGGCGACGATAACAATGGAGCGTCAGGAACAGTGGTTTTGGAAGCAACCTGCTGGGATGGGTTACCGGCCATGTTTGGATTTCAGCGGGGAGTATCGCCGTGCAAGCCAGGTTATTCGCCGTGACCATCGCCGGAAGTACCTAATGGTAGTTGTTTCCGGCGGTCTCAACCAGCAGAGGAACCAGATTGTCGATGCTGTAGTCATCGCTCGCATCCTTGGTGCTGCTCTGGTGGTCCCTATTCTCCAGGTTAACGTTGTCTGGGGAGACGAAAGGTAACCCCAGTCGCTGTTTTCGATTAATACTCTTCTCCAGAGAAGGAACTCTTGATTCTCTTAATTTCTTTTGAATAATTTGTTTCTGGATAAAGTTTCCTTTCTTGTGTTTCACCTTTATTTTACAGTGAGTTCACAGATATCTTTGATCTCGATCATTTAAAGAAAACTCTGGCCGACGATGTTAGGGTTGTCTCCTCTTTGCCTTCGACCCATTTGATGACGAGGCCTGTAGAGGAGAAGAAGACTCCCCTCCATGTTTCTCCACAGTGGATTCGATCGAGGTATCTACGGCGGGTAAGCCTCGTCTTCCTTCTATCATGAGAGACTATTTCAAGCCAAATTTATCATGCGACGTCATATTTTTTATAGAAACAATGTTTTGATCCATTGAATTTACATTGAGATGAGGGCAATGAAATAATTTTTAAGCTTATGTTGATGTAATTTATATATGATGTACTGACGATTTTTATTCGGATCTAAATTTGGATTATTTGGTGTACCGACCACCGAGCTAATAGAATCCACGTTGCTGTGTAAAATAATGTTTGTGAAATGTATTAAGTCCACATTATAATTGCAAATAGTTGAGAAATTAGGGCAAAGAAATCACAAGAAGTAAAACTGAACAATCCAAAAAGAACAAAAAAGATTTAACGAGGTTCAGCAATATATCTAAGCAGTGAGTGGCGGCGGCTTTTTAATTTCTTGAAAATAGTACATACCCTTATGGTTACAAATACAACATATATATATAATCCTAATGTACAATATGTAATTACAAAATTACCCTGTACGGTATTGCGGATGCGTTGCCCCCACACCCCCAACCTACTTAATGAAATGTCTCTAATTGGATAGATGCTTCTGCTCTGCCATGCTTGCGAGCTCCGCTTCGTTCCAATATCTGCCCCTTATCTGGTATATGAGCCATACCTAACACAGATTAAGCCTAAGGCGGTATTTGGCTGCAACTTGAATCAACGTTGAGTAGGATTTATCACATATCACATCCAGTAAAATTTCAGATTTATTTGATGGAGATGGAGATCGCTCCAATGATGGAGTAAATCTTTAAATCCGGCCTATGGTCGGATTTGGTAAATCTGAATTTAGAGACGGAAAGAGATAATCGGAGACACGGAATGCATGAAATTTTAATTTAACAAAATGTTGGATTTAATTTATATTTTTTTAATGTTTGATTGGATTTACCTTAAATCGATGCCTAAATTCTATTTAAACTATGCTACCAAACACCGCTTAAGGGTTAAGTTTTAAGTTTCTCTTTAATGATTTTAGGTTTACAAGCGACTCGGTGAGTTTGACTGAGCCAAGGGAGACACTCTATCAGTGAATCTAGAGAAATTTTATAGAAACAATGCTTTTACCCAAAAGTACAGCATTTCATCAGAATTTTAGCAGTTTCGGCATATTTTGCATCTACCTGTATGACCAACGAGCTTTTATTTGTAAGTGGAGATTGAGATTGGTGGTACATGAAGCCCTGCACAAAGAATCATAAGAACAAGTACATTTAATCTCTAGTGTAACAAGCTAGATAATGGGTGAGTTGGACTTGATGATCGAACTTAGCTTAAGACAAATATGAGTGTACATATCTCATATATTAAATTATTTCTTAAGATTTCAGTTGTATTGCATGCAATTGACATGATATCTGCCATCTTTTGTTCATGCTTTTGTCTTTTTTTTCTTTAGCTTAATAGAGAGGGGGTTTTACTACTAAGAGGATTGGATTCCAGGCTTTCAAAGGATCTTCCACCTGATCTACAGAAGTTACGCTGTAAGGTAATACTTCTACTCTCGTTTGCATCCCTTGCAGTTTTTAATTTTGTGTCAGTCATGACATTTTAATTGATATCCTCTTTTGAGTTGCTTGTAGGTTGCTTTTCAAGCTTTGAGATTTGCTGCCCCAATTGTCGAATTAGGAAACAAGTTAGCAGAGAGGATGAGAAGCAAAGGCCACCCGTATCTTGCTCTCCATCTTCGAATGGAGAAGGATGTTTGGGTGCGAACCGGCTGTCTTCCTGAGCTGAGCAATGAGTATGATGCGATGATTCATAGTGAGAGGAAACTAAGGCCGGAGCTTCTCACTGCAAGATCAAACATGTCCAATGAGGAGCGAAAGCTGGTTGGCCTCTGTCCCTTCAATGCTTTGGAAGTGACCAGGTACTTCTTAAGATCCATATGTGAGTAAAAATAAAACATAATCTTACATTGAAATTAAAACAAGAGCTGAATTCCAAATATAATAATGGTGGGCTTGAACCATTTGTATAGGCTGTTGGGTTTTTGAGTGTTAGGTATGGCTCATATACCAGATAAGGGACAGATGCTAGAGCGGAACGGAGCACGGAGCTCGCAAACAAAAGCATCTGTCCAATTGGAGGAGCTTTTTTGTTATGTGGGTTGGGGTATGGTATAAGGGGTAATTTTGTAATTAGATATTGTACGCCAGGATTATATATATATCTTGTTTGTAACTCTAGGGATTTGTACTCTTTTTCTGATTTGAAGGAAAAGCCGCCGCTCTCCTCCCGAGTAGGTAAATTGCCGAGCCTTGTTAAATCTCTGTGTTTCTTCTTGTTTTGTGTTGATTCTTGCATTTTCTTTGCCCTAAATTCTCAACATTGAGTTTCCATATACTAATGTGTTGGTGTAACTTGAGACCTATTGTTCCACCTTCCTTATAATATTTCTGATTCTGCTTTTCAGGCTACTCAAAGCACTTGATGTCCCAAGAAACACAATGATATACTGGGCTGGAGGGGAACCGCTTGGTGGGATGGCTGCCTTGGAGCCTCTGAAGAAAGAATTTCCTCTCCTGTACAACAAAGAGAATCTCTCCACGCCTGGAGAACTGGAGCCATTTGACAGAAAAGCCTCACTTCTTGCAGCCATTGATTACATAGTCTGCGAGAAAAGCGATGTCTTCATGCCTTCTCATGGAGGAAATATGGGCCGTATGATTCAGGTAATTCTGCGTTCTTTTCAAATTATGTCCATTTGTGTTCATTCTTCATCACAAGCTGTGCTGAAACATGAAGATTTAGTAACTTTAGTTGGTGTTGATGAAGGGGCATAGGGCTTTTGATGGGCATAAGAAGTTCATAACCCCAAACAAGCGGCATATGCTTCCATACTTTCTGAATACCTCACTTCCTGAAACTGAGTTTAATAAGGTTGTGAAGGAACTACACCAGGGATCTCTAGGGCAGCCAGAATTCAGGACAGACAAGATTGACAGGGATGTGACGGCTTATCCAGTTCCCGAGTGTATGTGCAATTCTTCTTCAACAATGTCGGCACTATAAGGCCAGAAAATTTTACATCCGGACTCCGGATGTTCCGCTGCATTCTAGCTGTTGTCCGGACATCCAGAGTCCGGATGTAAAGTATTTTCGTGTAAGGCATTGAAAGATTGAGGATGATTGTTCTGCATGAGAAATTTTTGCATTTTTAATTCGGATTCAGTCCCACCTTGAAACATGGCATTCTATTTCAAGGAGCTCTCTCTGAACGGATCCTGAAATTTGAATTGGTACAACATCGAAGGATTGGCCTGCTGGTGAAAGTACAGAGAAGATATGGTAAAAGATTTGATCAATGGAGTGCTACCTAGAGGCTAGAAACACATGCCTTTGTTCAAGTAATTTACACATCCTATGCTTCAGTTATTTATTTTTTAAGTATATTAATGTTAAGGAGTATTTATTTGTACTTCATCCTATACTGTGTATTCATCACTATTTATAGCCCCAGGATTGCTTGTGCATATATGTTATTCAAGCTATTGTTCATCAACATTTGGAAAGGAGAAGATAAGGTCATACTATTGTTTTAAGTTATTGAGCAATCTTCACCCTTATAATTCACTTGCGAACGTATGGTCTATAAAGCATGTTATTATTCTTATTATTCTTGTTAGCGAAATGGTTAAATTGTTTTGCTAGGTGTGGATTTATTTCAACAATACTTTTCTCTCTTCATGAATGTAAAACACTACTTAATTAGCTCCTAATCTTAAATTAAGTATAATGTGGGTCTTTATGGAGTTGAATGTGTTGTAGGTATTGTAGAAGATGATTATAATGTTTGTCTTAAGGAAGATGATTGTAATATGTTTATTACAGATTATAGTTACATCTTACCAAGAGATTACGTTTGTACAGGTGAATGTAATAACGCTGGTCTTAAAGAGATGATTATGATTTAAGCAAAGAGTAAAATGCTAGTGTTTATGGATGAGGGTTGAGACATTAGTAAAGGTTATCTTAGGTTGTTTGAGCACTATCATTCTTCTAATGGCGAGTGATGCTATCGAGGCTAGTATAAAAGGCATTTCCTAGATAACTAACATTGGAGTAGGACAATTATAGATGGATGATGTTGCTATGATCATGGTAAGACAACTATTGATATGTGATGGATGCTATTTTTTCTCAAGGTGTTGACATAAATGCTTTTATAATAAACGTAGATAACAGGGATTGTAAGGCAATCATATTTGTGAAAGGATGTCATCCAAGTCTTGGTGTTTGTGGGCAAATGCTTGAGTGGAGTGTTTTGTAGTCTCTAGGTGACTATGGTAACACTCTTATCATTATTATAAATGGCAAGGATAACATTATTGTTGTGATAACCTGATAATTATAAACAATAAGCAAGCATTAACTAGAAGAACTTTTAAAATGTTGATGTCATCAAATAGAAAACCTATCAATTGAGTTAGAGTGGGGTATGTGTATAATTTTATGAGTAGAATTTAGATTCTTATTTTAAATATTCCTAGTAATTACAAATAATGAATGGTCCATCCCATATCCTCTCAACCAAATTGTGATTGGATGATGCAGTCCTCAAGTAACTTGATTTGTTCACTTGGATTTGTCTTATTTAAGTCATTAAAAAATGTTTAGTGGCATCCACTTGTATTATTATCCACAAATAACTATATGTATATGTTATGTTTTATATATCTATGTTATTGGAATGTTGATGGTGATAAATCAATTTTTTAATGGTCAAATTGGTAATGATGGCTCTAAGCCAATCACATATAACCCTCAATAGGATGTAATAGGAAGGGTCAACCAAAGTTGGATCATGTGTTTTTGTATTGCCCAATTTATGTGATTAATGAGTAATAAATACATCATTAGAAAATTCAAGTGATTAAGCACCAATGTGAGTCTAAAGGAGCTTAAATTAAGTGTTGAAGTATGGTTGGAAACTGTGGGGTATTAATTAAATGATCCAATGATATTGTTTTTGGTTCTTTTTAAAAACTCAAAGTCACCAACTTGTCTATTTATATATCATCTTCGTATGATTCCCTATTCAAAATAAATCTCTCTCAGATCATTTAACTGATCCGAAGAGGAGAGGAATTCGAAAAGACGAGATATACGATGAAAGTAGGCAAATAAATTTTAAAAAGAAACATGAAGAGCTTATGTATGATAACCCTCGTTTGATAGGTCGAAAGTATATGCTCGAATAAGATCAGATTGAAATACTTTGAAACACGATATCCACGAAGAAAATCTCTACATAACCCACCCATAACCAGAGAACCAAAGAATATTTTTGTTCTGCGATTAAGAGCACTCCAAAAGAAACGTATCCTTTTGGTTAATTACATCTTATGGGGATACCCAATAATACTCTCGATCAAATAAAGCTTACATTATCACGATAACTGGTAAATATGTCACCAAAAGTATGGTTATTTCATAGAAACATCTCGATGCTTTCAAATCTCTCGTCAAGCCATAGAGCAAAGAGTGAATCTCTCACATCCCAAATAGGTAGCGACTCATCAACATACGATGCCCATGAAATAACCACGTCGACTCATAGGATCCACTTATTGCTTTCAGGGCCTAATCGGGTCATAAGGGCTGAGGATGAATCACCGAATCCCAATTGGGCAACAACTCATCCTCAATCGGGTCCTACGAGGCGACACCAACAAATTCACAAAAGGACAACATGCCTCAAAAGGGCTCAATATAAGGAGAGATAGAGTGATCCTAATCGGGTAGAGATAGCCCGATCAAGATACCCCAGATCCGTCATTCCAATCTATTAGGACTCCAAGTTTACTTGACTGTAAAAGTAGTTGACCCAATACAACCAGAGACTCTTTGTCATTAATCCGTGAATTGCGTTGTTCAAGAAAATCTCGGTAGCCCTAATGTCAAAAGAAGAAAATTCTAAATCCTATGACCTTATAGAGGTAGAGCTCACATAGATGTGACTTCTAATCACCAAATAAATGATCAAGATGCCACTAGAAAGAAGAGAAAGAAGGTCCATTTACAAAGTTGAAACACTCCTAAAAAAACTTAACTTCTCCTTGAGACATGTAATATGATGAATTATCTTTAGTCCTAAGTGTGGAGGCCAGTCAATATGACTGAGAGAGAGTCATGCTATGCAAACTATTTTAAAACTGACCCAAATGCCGTACAAAAAAATAAAGTACAGGTTTTAAATAGTTGAATATTTTAATTCTAAATTTTGATTAATTTTAATATTTTATTAGGATTTTTATAAAAAAGATTATTTTCGGTTCATAAAGAGTCAAAATTTTATCACAAGATTCCCAGATAAACCACAATAAAAAGAGTAACTAGCAAGCACACCACAAAATTAAATAAGTCAAATATAAAATAATAAAAAGTTCGGGGGCCACTAGGTCGACAACAAGAAGACGACCATGCTTCATATATACACATCCGGTCCTAAATTTTATACCTCAATATTAAAATACAAAATTAAGATATGGGACAAGAGCATCTGTTCCTGGTCACTGCTCCGTGGTCATACACCTTAAGCCCCTCGAAACCGTTGCTCGTATCTTGTTTTCACTACAGACTCCCCTAAGGACTCTAAAAAGCACATGCACAAATTAAAAAAAAAAAAGACTCGACTTGCACGAAAATCAAGTTAACATAAAGTTATCTACACACAATGTATTGAATCATATCCGGTGGAAGGAGAGTAAAACAGTACATGTAAGGAAAATGTTAGCTTTAAATCATTAAGCTCCTCCATGTTGAATATAGCTCCCTGCATGATAACCACCGCTAATATATTGTTATGCACGTCTCAAACTCCAGTAACACACAAAATGCAACACACCAACGATGCCCGACCAGGGCAACCAAACAACAAAGAATTATGACCAGGATGTCAAAAAAACTACCTAAGCACCCTAGCTTTGGCATAACACACCATCTACCATAGTGTTCTAATTATAGCGTCTAAGTGTGTGCACTGTGCATGGTAAGGTCTAGGTGTATGACTTTAATGGGATCACCATCACCGTCCCTGTTCTAAAGATCCAAGGGTTATAAAATACATCAATAGAAATGACATTTTAAATAATAGGTCTCACATATAACCTAACTTGTGTAATTTTAAAATAGGGCGGATGATACATAATAAAATATTATCAATTTTATATTTTAAAATATAGGACCATTGAAAACGGGTCCATAAAATATATGACCATTGAAAACGGGTCCATTAAATATAGGACCATTAAAAATGGCTATCAAACTACAAAATAAAGAAATAATAGATGAATCAGTTAGAGATGAGGTTAGGATAGAAGAACGAACCCAACCATGAGTTTGATACACTTAGTAAAATTTCTATAGAAGACTAAGTAAAAACATAGTTAGGAACGTTGCAATAGGACCATCACCACACTTTTCCCAGTGGCTTCAACAATAAAAAAATAGACCAACAATTCTCTAGATTTTTGGAAGTGTTCAAGAAACATACCATCAACATTCCCTTTTCCCTTTGTTGATGCTCTTGCATAAATGCCTAATTATGTTGAGTTCATGGACGATATTTTAAATAAAAAACATAATCTAGGAGAATTTGAGACTGATGCCTTAATTGAAGAGTGCAATGCCATGATTAAAAAAAAAACGCTTTAAAAATTTAAGTGGTTGGGTATTCCTTAAACTATATGGGATAATTTTATTTGGGAAATCATTATATAGTTTAGGTGCTAATTTAATATCTATTACCATCTTTAGGAAGTTGGAGTTGGAGAAGTACAATCTACTAATGTAACCCTTCAACTACAAGACTGTTCAGTCACATATTTTGGGGGATTACAGAGGATATTTTTGTTAAAGTCGACAAATTCATATTTTCAATTGATTTTATTATTTTAGATGTGAATGAAGACAAGGAGATACCAATCATCCTACATAGTCCATTTTTGGCAAAGGGAAGGGAAATCGTTATGTTCAAAAAGGAAAATTAGTTATGAGAGTTCAAGATCAACAAGTGATTTTAGTGTGTTGAGATCAATGAGTGAATAACAATGCTTTAGAGTGGATTTGGTAAGAAGGTGTGTGAGAGATTGATTATTTGAGATGTTGAAGGCTGGCACAATGGAGCAAGGTTTGGTTTCTAAATAAATAGAAGAATAAATAAATGAATGTGCTCTATTTTTAAATTCAGCCCCTCGAGTACTTTCAGAAAGATTTGAGCCACTTGAGACCTTTACAATAGCAAAACATTTTAATATCTTTAATTGTAGAGTCATCTATATTAGAACATAAGCATCTCCCCAAGCATCTTAGGTATGAACTCTTAAAAGTATAATCGACTTTACATGGTATCATTTTTTTTAGAGTTAGATGAATTACAAGAGAAAAAGTTGATTTGGAAAGAAGACGCAACCCTTTTATGAAAAAAAGTAGTAAAAAAAATAAGTACTTAAGTATATCATCTTTCAAAAAAGTGTTTAGGTTAGTCCAAATAACATGGCTTTGATTTTAGTAGTAAATGGG